CATTATAAGCAATTAGTAATCCCTACTCATACATGTGTTATGGTATTTGTGATTAGTTTTTAATAAAATCATTACAAGTACTGTAATAATGCTCACTCTTACCCACATGAACACATCTCCTATTGAATATGTAATTAATAATTACATTTATAATTTTTCTATTCGTAATACATTTCGTAACTATTTTTATGATTGCTGGCTACTTAACAATTATTTGTAATCAATGTCCAAAAATAGAAATAGTCCATTTTTGTAATAAAATGAAATTAATTTTTTATACAACTTTAGGTCTCGATTGAAAGGTTTTTATGTAAGTTTGAAAAAGGTTAGGTAGGTGTGAGACCGTATTTCAGTCACTGTGTCTCAGACTAATTTACAATTTATAAAATATAACATTAGTATTTATTTTATTATAATTTTTTTAATTGCACTATAATTTTGTTTCATTTATTTTTAATCTAATTTAAATTCTTTTAAATTCTTCATAATTATCCAATAAATACAAAAATTATGGAGAATTCTAAATTACTATTATTAATAGATAAGCTTGTTTAATAATTTATATAATTTTTTAAATCATTAAATTAATTATGGTTTAATATTATTTTGTTTAGCACTTAAATAGTTATACAGTATAATGTATGCTGTTATAAATTGTAAATATAATAAAAATTATTTTAAACAAAGTGCTTATCATATATAATTACATTATTGATAATACAAAATAATTTATATAAAAGTATTTTTTATGAACAGTGTTTATTAATATAACTTTATTTATAAATATAAACAATTAAAATAATTTCGACAATTGCTTGACAGTCTCAACAATAGTAGATTTAATGTGGTGTCCGTACTGTTTGAACGTCTCATTGATACCAATAGCTCTATCCGGACACATCTCTTGAACGCCAAAGTAGACCATCAATGATAACAAAAGGACGAAACCCACGCTAAGAACTAGTGGGTTAGTCACAAACTTCAGGCACACACGAACCCCAAGTGTCGCCCATCTAATCGCCAGTTCCACTTTATTGACCTGTTCCGACCACCCTTTCCCGTATTTCCATTTAGTACAATAACACTCGCAGTTTCGACGCTATATTCATACCAAACAATACAATAAATTAATATTATATTAAAATTATATTAATGTATTAATATATAATAAATTTTTGGGTACTATTTGCAATAAGGTAGTTTGTGTCTGTAATTGGCATCGTGTAACTTAACAGGGTTAGTTCCAAAAAATTATTAAAAACATCAAGGTAATAAGGTTTATCAAATGACTCACATTCAGCTCATACACCACTCGCTTATCCTTCAATGTGTTTAACTCGTTAAACACCAGATCCAGTGGTCGGGCGGTCACTCCAAAACGCTTGGCCACACCCTCCTGATTGTTCACACGACACAAATCACGCCCTTTGACCCCATCCGCAACATTAGTCGCCGCCAACTCCTCGTCCCCCTCCCACTCCTGAGCCGCCACAATGTCCTCTTCGGGATCATTGCAGAGAATTTCGAGCAACGACTGGTATCGCACGTACACCACCTTCTTGTCCTTTCTGGCCTCAGGGGTCACGTGATAGCACCAGATGATACCCTGGTCAGTTTTGGACTCGCATATCACCCAATGCTTTAACCACCACGTGCGCTGGATTTCGATGAGGTCTCCCCGTTTGACCACTTGTTTGATCTCATCGTACGTGAGAAATGAGCCCACATTTGATCCGCATTTACCGCACTTTGACAGCGACGACCCCATCGGAGTGATATGTCAGCCCTACCCCTAACCTATACACCAATTAAACATATTAGTTAAATACAATTATATATCTACTAGTCTGGATTGATGTTTAAATATACACTAGTCAACTTACTAGTTAGATAAAATTTTATTAATCTCGTTGTTATAGAGTACAGTACAAATATTTTAAAATAACACATATTATTAAATTATAACTTGTTATATAATGTATACTTCTTACCTGATATTATCCGAATCAGCAGATTATTAATATTATATAATGTGATAGGATATTACCAAATATAATATAAAAGTTATATTTTTGCATCAGTATTTATACATATTTGCTAATACATTGTTATTGTATATTTTATTAAACGTCTTATGAATCATCCATATCCTTAAGACTAAAGGCATCATCAGTTTGTCACACCATAACCACAATAAACCGCATACTATGACAATATATGAAAAAGCTTGTTAAAATTCAAAATGAATTTCTGATTTATGAGAAATAATTAAACTAGTCTTTCTTATAAATATATATCAATATATTTTTGTATTTCATAGAATTGGCATAATAAATTAATTTTGTCGATTACGGGTATAATCATGGCGGTCTTATTGTATATAACAATAAATTTGATGACAACTTTAAAAAATAAAATTTTCAGTCAAAATACACTAAACCTTGAGATTATTTAAGACTATTGCCAGCGAGTGTTGTGTTGTAGGAAAGGGTTACTAAAAAATAATCTGAATTTCAGATCATATAATGTATGAAAAAATATTGATTTTAAGGGAAATTTATTGTGAAATGAGAAAACGTTTTGAAAAAGAAAATATTAAGTGATAAATAAATAATTAGCTATGTAATTTTTCTATTTATACAATTTATTTGATTGCTGGCTACTTTAAATTTATTGGTAATCTACGAGCAGAAATTGACATTCATTTATGTCACCAAAATTGATATTAAATTTTAATTCAAGTTTAGGTATTGATTGAAGCACTTTAAGTAAGTAGGGACAGGTATGTGTAAACAGGATGTCTTTCACACGTCAGACCTTCCTTTGCATTTCACTTCATTTGCATTATTTAATATGTGTTTATATTTTAGGGAAATTTGGATAACTTTTTAATTTTATTTTATTAGATTTGTTTTATGAATTGAATAATAATTGTGTTTAACATTTATAAATAAACTTTTAACCAAATTTAAAGTAAATAACTTATTTGCCATAATTATCCATATAAATGAACAAATTATTATATCTAAAAAATAATACTAAATTACTAATCTTATCAATAATAGTTAAGCTTGTTTTATAATTTAAATAATAATTTTGATAAATAAATATAATTAAATATGATTTAATGTTATTTTAATTGGATAGTTATACAATATAACCTATGCTACTAAATTGTAAACATATAAATCATTTTAAAAAGTGTTTATCATATGTAATTATACTGTAATACTAATAATACAGAAATATTCACAACAATATCATATCAGTCGTACTCCACTTTCCGGTAACATTAGTCGGTAACACCTGATCCAGTGGTCGGGTCATGAGTCCAGTCGTGTCGGCCTCCTGTTTCTGATATTTTAGTTGATCCCACCCTTCAGTCCCAATAATAAAAATAATTTTTGAAATAAGAATATTCTGTTTATTATTAATAGCCATATATCACTATATTTTTAATAAATGAGAAAATATTTATAAATAGATTTATTGCATTATAACCCTATTAATAGTAAGTTTCAAAAGTAGGTAGCATTTACATTTAAAAATTAAAAGTAATGTATTATATTTACTTTTTAAATAAGAAAAAGAAAAAATATTTTCTGATATTAAAACTTAGATTAATAATTAATAACAAAGAATTCTATTTATAATTAATAATTATCCAGGTATTATTGATATTAATAAAATGGATATTGGATCTAAAATTTAAGACATCAAAAATATTTAAATAAATAATATTTAATATAATTATATTAATCTCATAGCAAATTGAGTATCAATAGATGATTTGCCATAAATCCCAACACATATACCATAAACTCGTAGTTATTCATCAAAAACATATCATAGCAATAGAAACCGATATCACGAGCGGACAGCCTCTCAATGAATACCATTACTTTCCATCTCTGATGAGTGGAAAGGGATGCCTGTTTCAGACCAGCATATAATACAGTACATGGTTTATTGGCCGATGTGGTAACCCAAGTGCACACGTAGGTCGTGAGGAATACACCTGTGTACAATGTGATAAATAATGCACCTGCTACAAAACGGGCGTATTTATTAGTGTCGGGGGCAAAGGTCAGGTACAACATTAGCTCAAAGTCAATGGTTGTCAGGTAATAGATACAAAACAAAGCAAATTTGAAAAATATATTAATTTTGACGACCATTTGAGTGATGATATTGTGTTCATTCATAGCTTCCTTAAGCAGTGAAAGTTTGCCCCGTTTTATGCTCAAACGGATTTTATCATTAATTTCCTTATATTTATACTTTATATAAGTGGTGGTCATTACGAAAAGGATCAGCGCAAAATTGGTTAATGAGAAAAACTGAACAAGCACCAATAAATCGAGAATAGTCCACAGAATAATACCGGGAATAGTGAATCCAGAATTGGGCTCAAAATAAACAACTATTGAGGCGGTAAACAACGATGCGATAATCATCGGCCATATCATCGCGTTTACGAAAAATTTGATCAATAAATTTGATTTTGATATGAATTTCCTGTAATGCCTTACATTCAACGGAAGTGCCATTTGATTGCATTTTATATCATTGAAAAAGTTTACGAAATATAGTTTGCGTTTATATTCGCAGTAATGGACTACCGTTCCCGTGAACGCCAGCACGAGTACCGCGTCCGACACCATCTCCGAGATAAACACCGCGTTCCCCAACATATATGTGCCGTCGCATAGTAGGCCCCTCATGTGCCGGGTGTTTACCAGCGCTGAGACGGCGTATTTAATACACACCACATATTGGATAAACCGGCTGATGATGAGCACTAGTACGCGGGGTTTGGTGGGAAATACACCGTTGAGATAGTTGTCGAAAGTGGTGGTCAGCACCAGATATCTCGTCGTCAGTCTCTCCAGACGTGTGATGGTATCCATGGCGTCGGTGTTATTATGTATGCAATTATGTATGCAATCATTGTATTTGGTTTGGATTTTATTTACCTATAATTTACTAATAGTTACCAAATATTGATAATAATTTATTACAAAAACTTATGATTTTTTAATAGTATTCAACATGGTTGTTTACTGATTGGATAGATTTATTTATTTAGCAAATATACTATATTTATGTGATTATAATTGTGACTGTAATTTTTAAATAATCATAATATTAAATATATTATATTTTAAGACATAAATGTGAATAACAAAAAATTGTTTTCATAACTCACTGCTATCACCGACTTTTGAAAAATAAATATTTTATTTTAAAGCTAATGTGAAATCAATGATTTTATTTTGAATAAATAATTTATAATAAATAAATAATTTGTTACAGGCTATTAATCATCATAATTCTTGGTTATTATTTCATAATAACTTATCTATAATCAATACTGTTGGGTATCAATATGACTCTGATGGGTGTTGTTTTATTAAAAATTAAAACCTGATAACTGAATACAATATATATATAATATAAATTCAAAAACTCACGGATTTTTAGTT